GGTGTGAGGATGTGCCAGGCGTCGCTCACGGTGACACTGAAGAATGGCTCTCAGATCTCGGCCATACGGCTCAACGTGTGTGTGTGTGTGTGTGTGTGTGTGTGCGTGTGTGTGTGGGTGTGCGCGTGTGTTGGGGTATGACTGTAGGATTTGTGCGCATGCAGCATTTCTGTTCAGCTCCGTCGTCACCGGCGAGGCGCTCAGGAGACAAATCCTCGACTCTGGGTAATAGGATCTGAAAATGTCAGAGATAGAGGATCAGACATATTGAGGCTCCAGATACTGTTACCGTCTTCTGTTCAGATCACCAGGAACAATTAAACATCCCGATCAGACCAGCATAACCAGCAAGTTTCAATGGATGTAATCCAGACACCCATCTTTTATCGCCTTCTGTCTTTGTCGGTGCTGCATTATTAAACCAATTATAGAGCTGATAAAAGTTTGCCTGTAGATGAAAGATGTGTGCGTGTGTGTGTGTGTTTCTGGCTGACATGTCCTTGCAGAGGTGCGTGCTCCTCTGGGCCTGTAGATGAGTTTAGAGTCGGTGTTAGGAGGCGGCGACGAGGCCTGACGACGTCTTTACCCCGAGTTCCTCCCCTGGAGGCAGATCTGAATGGATTGTAGGAGCAAGGAGGAGAAATAAATTGGAGAAAAGGATAAATCAATGCTTGGCAGAGAGGCAAACAGACCTTCCAACCCCCTGGTCCACACTTACACACACACACGCATACACACGCACAGGTTCCACAACGTGGCTTTTTTTTTTCTTCCTTGGGCTGTATTGGATTGGTATGCAGAGCTGAAGAGAGAGACACTCAGAAAAAGACTTGGCCTACAAATGATGTCCTTTGTTTGATCCATTACGTTAGAGGGTATGGGGGGGTTGTTGGTGAACTGGTGTGTGTGCATGTGTGTGTGTTGGGGGACGAGCGGGAAGGGGGGTCCCACTGAGATAGTAGAGGAGCTGAGAAACAAATACTACATCTGAATGGCAGCATATCCTTCCTGGGAGAGAGAGAGAGAGAGAGCACAGAGGCGTTCTGTTTATTGCACAGCTTAAAGATTGTTTGAAAATGTCCTACTAGCGCTTTTAATCTCAGCAGTTATTTGTTTTCCTGTTGCATGTGATTTTTTCCTCTAAGAAACGCAATGAAAATCACACGTGAATACGTTTGTCCACGCCACTCCATCATCCTCCAACTGCATTCCGTCGTCTTCTTCTTCGTGTCTGGCACCAGTGGCAACATCTGGCTGCTGATCATGTGACTCGTGCGATGCCAACAAAACCTTTCCTTTGCTGCATCCCAAAGTAAACTAGGGGCGCACCGATTTATCAGTGCCGATTTCCTTAATTTTGTGAGATCGGTGATCGGCCGGTTTTCACATGTGAAGCCGATCTGATCCACTGATGTTATCAAACTCGGCAAAGGTCTAAAAATCAACCACTGTGCTTTTCTCTACTCCCGTGAGAGAGGTTTGACTGCAAACCGGATGACCAGGTCATGTCTGCACATTTGCAGTTCATAATAGTCACTCCATTATTGTCAATTAAGCAACTTACTTGCTATATTGAGCAACATTTCAGACGAAAAAACTGATATCGGCCAAAATCGGAATCAGTAAGTTAGACTTTTTAAAAGATGGGTAATCAATGATCGGCCAGAAAACTGCAATCAGTGCATCCCTAAAACACACCGATTTTGACATGGCAATAATAATAATAATAATAATACACCTCATCCTCATGCGAAAAGTTTTTTATGGAGAAACTAGAACTTTTTCTAAATTGCTGTTACAAATAAGTAGATTTCTTTTTGAAATGTCAAAAATAAATGTCAGCTACTGATTAGAGAAAGTTTCCTACTATTTCAGGTTTCCAGGTTGCATGCTTCCTGTCATCAGTGTGTTTCTGTTGGTGTGTGTGTTGCACACGAAGTTTAGAAAGTTGTGCAAAAATACCAACAAAAACAAAAATCAATCTTAAAGACAGCTTTATTTTATCTTCAATAATGTCAATATGTGGGAAAACAACTATTTCTGTACATTTAAGAGCGAAAACCTGAACAGCGATAAATACGAGCAGGTGTTCAAACAATCTGGACTTCAACGGTGAAAGGAAACGACACGCATTGCGTTGTGCACCGACAACCTCAGTTTGTTTTCATAAGAAAGGACAAAAAACATGTGATTGGAAACGACATGAAGCAGGATGTCCAACCAGCAGCAGCAGCTCCTCAGAGGTGACGCTGACCTGAGAGGAAGGTGGGGACAAGAGAACAAAAATACCCATAAATGACTTTACAACAACAACAACAAATTAATGAGTCATACAAAAACCCCTGAATTTGTGTTATTGTTTTTGCATAGTGTAAAAGCTAACGTAAAGCTCATCTGGTGAAAATGCTGAGAGTTTTCTTCTTTGTTCTCGTTACTCACGGCTTCGAAAGTTCAGTTATTCATGTACGGCAATTAGTTGAGAAAGCAAACTTTTAAACTATATAGACAGTCATACTCAATGGACCAAAACATCCATTCGGATGAAATCAGATTAAAAATACCCTTTGAAAATAACAGCCTTCCTTTCATCAGGTATTGAACATACTTCATAAACGCCACATTTCTATATTTAAATGTTATCTGATGTAATATCCTAATGTGAAATGTGTTTTTATTGCCTTCACGCAGAAAAGCATCACAACTGACAGATGAAAAGTCTTAAAAACATTCAGTTGCAAAAGCACAAAATCTTGCACAGTAATTTTGCCGTAATTTTGAATGCAAACATCTTAGTGCTCTTGAAATAAGACAAAGCTTTTTTCCCATCGTAAATACTAAAGATGGCTTGAAATACAGAACCACCTCCAACACACGCAGTATATTAGTGTAGTCGTTTTGTTCCCAGTCAATAAATCACTCATCAGCCCTAAGCTGCTCTTCATATTTCTGCTAACTAGCAACAGTTAACACTTTATAAGCAGCGTTCATGTAAAAACTTGTCGTAAACCCTTCTCACTTGCTCCTTAAATATGGATCTAATTGTATGAGGCCCCCTGCTGAGGTTATCAGACCATTTTCACTCTCAAAACAGACTCTTAAAATGCAATCAAATCTCAACTTCAACCTCCCTCTAATTATTTATGCAGCAATTTTTTCCCCATCACCGCTCCACTGTCTGCGCTCCATCACTCTGTCTCTATCTCTCTTTTCTTTTTCTTTTTTTTTTCCTGAGACATGCATCACTCTGAGCTCTTCACATCCCGTTTAGATTGGCTTGGGAGTTCTCTGTCTCTCTCTCTCTCTCTTTTTTTTTTCTCAGCGTTTCTTTTTATAGTTTGGTCGCTCGTACTGTACTCCCTGCTGTGCTTCTATTTTCATGAATGCTGTGAGAAATAATTGAAAGCGCCGTGTTCGGCGCCGTCTGTTGCAGCTCTCCCACTTGCTCATGCCTTGTAAATACTGTATCGCTAAAACCCCCGCTGAAAAGCTGCCAGTTCGGGAATCCTCACAACTCTGCGAGAAAGAGAGAGAGAGAGAGAGAGAGAGCGAGAGAGAGAGAGAGAGGGAGACGTCAACGCTCGCCGAAAACTTGAGCCAAGATCACATTGTTACAGCGAGTTGAGCGCTGCTCCTGTTGGACGGAGCTTGTTCAGCTGCTTGTCCTTGTCGAATTTTTTATTTTTTTTCCTTCACTGTGAAACTCAATTCTCTGTGAATGTCTTTTTCTCTGTGTGTTTGCTCGAAAACTTCTCACCCGTGACTTCTACGCAAAGCGGCAGACGCATGTCGGAGGAGTCGTGACTCCTGCTGTAAGCCGCGCTGCAGCAGATGGAAGACATCAAGGAATCTTAACGGGAACGAATGTTGCGTGTGTGTGTGTGTGCGTGTGTGTGTGCGTGGGCATAGATGAGATTTCCAGAAAATGACCTCTGTCCCGGCTGCCGTCAGGTGTGTGAGTTGGATTTTAAGGGAACGAAAGCCCGTCACCTTTACCTCTAATAATGTTGAGCACTGATACTTATGGCAGGAGTGTGAAACTCATTTTCATTTTTGGGGTCATGTCAAGATCATGCATGCACTCAAAGAGCCGGTTGTAGCAGAATGTATTGATAAAACTGTACAAATATTAATATATAGCTCTTTCTGCATTTGTTGAGTGCTTCTTAAAATTAAATACTGAGCGCCTTTTCGTGTTGATGTACTTTGACAGCATGTGGAATTAAAAAAATGTAAATGCTTTGATTTGGTTGATAAAGTCGTATTTAAGAGCAGTAGCGTTCAAGCGTTTTGTTGCCCTGGGGGCCAAAACTGGCAGATTTAAACTACATCTTTAAATTAAAGAAGTGAAAGTTAGTTAGATTTTCTTGATCTTTTTGTATCTGCTCAACAATAAGCAACATTTTAATAAAATCTGTATATCACTGAAGATCCAAAACATGAAAAAACTGTGGACTTATTGCAAGAAAAACGGAGAACTTTCACATTTTTGGGTCATGAACTGTTTTTTTGTTTTAGTGCCACATTTTTACTCTTCTAGACTTGTGGTCAGGGATTGAAAAATCATTTCAAGGGTCACAAACGGCCCCCGAACCACACTTTGAACCCTCCTGCTTTTAGAGTCCAGAGGGCCATGTAAAAAAATTACACTGGGCTGGATTTGGCCCCTGACCCTCGAGTTTGACACATAACTTATGATGTCCTAACCTCTTCTGCTTTAGTTAGCTGCATGGAAGTGCAGAAAGCAGTCAAATAATCTCTGCATTTCTAGTTGTGAAACTGGCATATGCCTGTTTTAATGTGAGACATCTCTTCCCTGATCCAGATGCCGGAAACGAAAGGAGGCAGAACGACGACAATGAGCCTCATCGAGCCCCCGACGTGGAGGGAGGCGTTGAAGGTCTGTCAATTGCGGCGCCTGATTTTTGAATTTTTGCAGGAAAATAGTTTTCAATCAGACAAATATGCGTTTTCGTGTGAGGCACACCTGGCAGGAAGCCCACCTGGCCACCAAAATGTATGTTTGTTTGGGGGGGGAAGACAGACAGACAGACAGACACTTTTGTGAACACTTGAATATATTTAGGCACCTTTTACATAGAGCTATGTTTTCCTACAATTCTTGCACCAACAGATTACTGATTCTTTGTTGCTGGTGGCGCCCTTCACACATTCAGCCCTGGGTAGTGAGCCATATCAGACACCACTGATAAATGCATCTGCTCATCCTTAAAAACTCTTGTATTCATGTATCTAAAATTAAGGTCTTAAAATGTCTTAATTTTTTTATTTTAATTTTTAATCACAGGTATTAAATTTAGTTGTGGTAGGACTATTTCATCTCATCTTGCGGGACTTTATTGTTACGCAAAAGTTTGAGTCACAAGGCTCGAGGCGGTTGCAGCTAATGCTAACCAAATTGCTAACCAGCCCTATGCTAGCTAGCTATTGAGCTTATTCATGTCCATAATGGGTAAGAAAACGCAAAATTACCACCAGTTAACAGGTGAACTTGGTTCACTTCTGTTGTCAAGCTATATGATTTATTTACAGGTCACAAATTCCATTCAGAGTTTTCTTAAAAAGTCTTAAATTTAAGTTGGCGGAACAAACAGACGCCCGGAAGTTGTTACAAGATCTTTCTTACAGACTAAATGTAGACTAGCGTCGACTGATTTGTTATGACATGTACAGTGGGTAAAATATGTCTTGGACAAGTCAACATTGTTTTCAGTAAATACATTTCAAATGGGGTGACTAGCAGGAAATTTCCTCCACTTCTCAGCAACACCAGTAATCCACACATAAGCAAACAGAGCAAATTAGTTTGTAAATAAAGTTATGCTCAAAACATGTACTGGAACAGGGAATAAGTATCCAAAACACATAAATGTCTTAAGTATCCATTCATCCTCCATTCAGTTACTTGAAGGTCTGGCGTGTTGTAAGATGGCCTACATTATCATGTTCCTGCCTTCCAACTTTCCTTCTGACATGGTTCTTCCTCCAATGGTTTGTGCAGAGTTTAGCTTTAGCCTCCTATTTCTGGGTCTCGCTGAAGATCTCTGCTAATGCTTCGTTTTGTTCATGTGTTCAGCAGTTATTCCCTATACCATTCCACTTAATGCAATTAAGAAAATAAATGAAATCAAAAATAAACAATTTTCTTTACACATCCAAAGCAATTTGCATTAATTGTGAATTACTTGCCCTGTTACCAAAAATAGGGTGAACCCCCGTCTATTTGCAGTTCAGTTTTCATCCATTTTTTGGTAGAATGTAACTAAAACATAGGAAAGAAATCCACAGTGGGAAGCTGAAATACCGAGGCACGTTGCAACTTATAAACCAGCCAAAGAAGAAGCAATGTTTCCTTCCTTGGCACTGATTGACTGTTAACTAACCATGGATCTTAGCTCCTGAGCTATTGCCAAAATGCTTCTACTGTGTGTATTAAGGCATATTAAGGAAAATGTTACGTTTGAACTATTAAAATTCTCATCATTTCAGAGGTGTATAAGTATTTCTAAATTTCGTCTGGTCTTGGTATACTATGGACCCTAACTCTGGTGAATACTTGGGTTCCACTCTATATCTATTGAGAAAACCATCGATATGTTCAATGCACATAGGATTAGAATTATTTTCACTTTGTTTTTGTTTTTTCCAACAGCTACGTCCATCAGACGTTCAGCAGACGTCCTCCCTACGACCCAGACCTGTTCTTGCGACGGAAACAGAACCCAAAGGAAGAAGACGGACGGACAGAACCGGTCCTCACCATCCTCAAAGGGGGTCGTCACGAAGACGGGCCAATTGCACCGATCGGAACCACGAGATGAAGCTCTGTAAGAACAGAAAGAAGGAGGTTGGGAGGGTGTAGCACGAAGTTGAAGACACAACATGGAATGCAATTAAATAAAGACTGCTGTTTTCCTCTGTGCCGCAAAGCCAATTGATCACCAATCGACTTTTATTTCCTACTGTGTGTGACCCCCAGTGTCAGCTGTGATTATTGCTGGTGAATTCCTCACCCGGTCCCCTTTTCCCACCTGCCCAAACTGCACACAAACGCACCAACCCTTTCTCTCCACCTCACCCCGCCAAAACAAGAGAAAGACAGGAAAACGGTTTGAGGAGGAGGCTTCAGCTCCTCTGTTCGCCTCGAAGGGTGAGCAGCGACATGTTTGTCTCTTTCCACTCCAGTGAAGGGCGAGTTTCAGCCTGGCTGCGACGAGAAATGGATTACCCGTTCAAGAAGGAGGCCGCGTCACTCCTCATTGAGCTGGACAAATAACTAATTCGTTGCTCTCCGCTGAATTCTCGAGGCCGCCTCAACTTTTCCTTTCTTCCTGTCTTATCAATTCATTAAAAATGTGCCGCGACGGGTGAGAGAGATGCGATGGAGGGAAAATATCTCCAATTAGCTGCTGGTGGAATATTTGAAAGAAAAAAAAAAGAAACTTCACAGAATTTTTATTTTTTTTTTCTTCTGCTATAGCAGCGTTTATGCTTCTTGTCTTTTCGTCGAGTCGTCTCGGTCTTGTCTTGTCTTGTCTAGGTCTTGGTCTTGTCTCGGTCTTGGTCTTGTCTCGGTCTTGTCTCGGTCAGGTCGCTCGCGGTATTGACAGGCCGGTATTGATGTTTCAATTAGAGCCGCGTTACGTGGAGCTGCGGCGCGGTGACGCGGCGCGGCTCGCGCCATCTGCTTCTGCCTCCGCGGCTGACGAACGAGGCACGTGGGGCTAATCGAGCCGCACATGAGCGATGGCACCGCGATATCTGGCTCGAGCACGCGAACGCGCGCGTCCTTACGCGAGAGGGGGCGGAGGGAGGGGGGTGCTGAGGAGTGTGTGTGTGTGTGTGTGTGTGTGTGTGTGTGTGTGTGTGTGTGTGTGTGTGTGTGTGTGTGTGTGTGTTCTGTTTTTCCCCGTGCGTGAGGACTTTGCCATGAGTCTATCCGGTCACATCAGGACCAGTTTTCCCGTGGGGACCTAATTTCAGGTCCCCACCGGCACAACCCCTTTTTACAGCAGGAAATGATGTATTAATATGCCCCGTGAAGTTTTCCCGGAAGTCCCCAGGAACTTCATTTCAAGACAAAATTTGTGTAAGTGTGTAAGGCCTGCGCTCCTAGTGGTCACACTCGGTACTGCAGTCCCCTTTAGACTATGTGTTCTTGAATAGTGCGTCACTTTTCGCTCACTCTCTAGCCCCCCCTATTGGTCAGAATGAGTTTTACAATTTAATGGTCAAATTAAAGGTTAACTTTAAAAATCTAACTTTTTAAACTTAATTTCTTACAGTGGGATTAACAGAGTATTTCTATGTCATTTATTTTATTTTAATTTAAAGTGAAGTTTACCAGTATTTACTTTTTATTTAATTTATTGTAATTAGCCTTTGAGTTTCAACAGGCCCGTGAAAGCCTGTGAAGGCCTGTTGAAACTCAAAGGTTTACTAATATAATTCTATTATATTAGTAATATAATATAATCATATTATATTATGATATAATATAATATAATTTGGATGCCTACAATTTGGATGCCTACAAATTGTAGGCATAATTTGGATGCCTACAATTGTTAGAAAACTCAAACTTAGTTTAAAATTGTGCCCAAAGTAAAATTTTAGTATTTTAATGAAATTGAAAATGAGCCTGCACAAATGTCTTTACAGCACTCCTCAGGCAATCATAGAGAGCCGAAATTTGGTATATCGGTGGAGCCACTGAAAAAACAAAAGAAGCCTCTTTGAGGTATACCCTTAACCCAAGAAAAAGTCAGCCATTTTGGTTCAAATGGTCATTTTTAGGCATTTTGACTTTTCATACTTGTGAATCTTTAACAAACTTCTCTTAGGGGATTTTGAGCTATCTGCTTTAAACTTGGTCAAGATCCCATTAAGGCATTTGGGAGTAGTGGTTATCAAACTTTGTGGGAGAATAAAAGGAACAACAAGAAGCTTTAAGAGAGGTAAATCATCAGCTCTCTTAATGCTGATGATTTAGCACCCTAACCCTCCATTTTAGAATAAAATGGATTTTTAACCCTCCGTGGAGTCTAGAAAAGACTAATAGGTTTAATCAAAAAGACCCAGATATCTGTTCTAAAGGAACCAACACTGGATGATGAAACCCTGCAAACAGCACTATGGGAAGTGGAACCCATCCTAAATGACAGGCCAATAACTTCAGTGTCAAATGACCCCAATGACTTAGAACCTCTAACACCAAACCATTTACTCCATTTGAAAGCAAAAGCAACCATACCACTAAGAGTCTTTGAAAAACAGATCAATATTGAAGAAGAAGATGGAGACAAGCACAATATCTTGCAAATCTATTCTGGAGATGTTGGATAAGGGAGTATCTCCCACTCATGCAAGAATGAAGCAAGTGGAAAAGCAAAAAGAGGAACTTCAGCCCTGGAGATCTGCTTGTTATTGTGGATAATTGGTCGCCAAGGAGCGCATGGATAAGGGGCCGTGTTGAAGACTTTTCAGGATGCCAAAGGCTTTGTTAGAAGCATTTCGGTTAAACCAAAGCCAATGTCATCCAGTGACCAATAGGTAAGCTACGTCTTTTGATGGAGGCAGCAGGATGAAATGAAAGACTTTCTAATCTTTATTATGGACTGCTTTAAGCATTAGAAAGGTTGAGAGGCTCTAGATAACACTTATAGGCAAAGATTATGAACATTGATTTTAGAGATCATAATTAAATTTGTGGAATATTTTTGCTAGATATAAGGCTCCTATGAATATTATTTTTGTAATTGTTACTTTGCTAAGGCTAACATTTAGGGGCTGGGATGTTGGAGCAGGTTAATTACATTAATGATATATTAATGTTACATCTAAAGGTATGTGAACAGTAGATCTATTGTTTATTTATTTTGCTTAGACCCTCCTTCTTGTCAGTCAGCCTCCTGCTGTGATTAACAAGCAAAAGCAGCTGCTGTGGTTGATCTGATTGTTTTGTGAAGGAGTGAGGAGTGAAACAATTTTTCTACCCCCAATTAATGTTTATCTTTTACATTTTTGGAAGTCAACTCAGAAATATTTCTGTTAATTTTATAAGTAAAAAAAATGTTGTCCATCATTTTAAGTGGCTTAACCATACACAATTTCAGATTAATAAAAATCAAATTTCAAATATGATAGATTGTTACTACTGTCGCGTAGGTACTGTCAGTTAGGCCGAAAATGTCTCATGCCTGGTTCCCAAAATGTCTTTGGGAACTTGGTGTAGATTCCTGAGGCCAAACATTGTCAATGGCCTCCAACCAACACATTAAAGATGGGCTAAACCAAGTGAGATCTCATTGGTGCCTCATATATTCTTCTTGATAGAATAAATTATCTGTAAAAGCAAATTGAGATTTGACTGAAGCCACATAAAGCACTTCATATTTAGATCAATTAACAGCCTTTTGTAAGTATTTCAATAACATATATGCGCAACATAATTGAGTATAAATTGGTATTATGTCTTTCTCAACTCCCCTCATCTTTTTCAAATGGTTTGCTCCACAAGCTCTTAAGAAGGCCAATGGTGACATTGTACCCTTTGGTTTCTCCAGATCTGACAAGGTAGCTGAAAGAAGGATTTGATTTGTTTGACTGACTCCGTTTGAGTTACATTTGTTAAAACAATAAAATAGCATTTTTGAACTTTTAATTCAAAAGTGCTTGGTTGAAGATAAAGAATGGTGGACAAGAGGAATCAAGAAGCAGCATGCCACTCATACAGGTTGACTGGCTTACATTTATATATAGTATTTATTTATCCACACATAGTTTTCCTTATCTGCTACAGCCCTCCACCCAGTTTCTCTGTAATGGCTGCCGTCTCACACACATCCTGAGATTTGACGTCCCCATTTCCCCCATGCCCATCCCCCCTCAGCATTCCCTCCATGGGAAAATGTTTGAAGATAAAGAATGGTGGGATAAGAGGAATCAAGAATTAGTAATTATTGTGATTTATATATTTATTAATCCACATATAATTTGCTGATTTACTGTAGCACCTCCAGCCAGTTTCTCTGTAATGGCTGCCATCTCACACACATCCTGAGATTTGACGTCCCCATTTCACCCATGCCCATCTCCCCAAACATACTGACCCATGTCAGTATGTTTGAACTTTTGATGCTTGGTTGAAAGAATGGAGGGACAAGAGGAATCAAGAATCAGCATGCTACTCATACAGGTTGACTGGCTCACATTTATATACACTGCTCAAAAAAATAAGGGAACACTCAAATAACACATTCTAGATCTGAATGAATGAAATAAATATGAAAATAATTTCCACCTGTTATCTGTTCCATTTGCACAACAGCAGGTGATATTGATTGTCAATCAGTGTTGCTTTCTAAGTGGACAGTTTGATTTCACAGAAGTTTGATTTACTTGGAGTTATATTGTGTTGTTTGAGTGTTCCTTTTATTTTTTTGAGCAGTGTATTTATTTATCCACATATAGTTTTCCTTATCTACTTCAGCCCTCCACGCAGTTTCTCTGTAATGGCTGCCGTCTCACACACATCCTGAGATTTTATGTCCCCACTCCACCCATGCCCATCCCCCCCCCCCCCCTCACCATTCCCTCCATGGGAAACATGCTGAACTATAAAGTAAAGCATGTTTGAACTATTATGGCAAAATGTTTGAAGATAAAGAATGGTGGGATAAGAGGAATCGAGAATCAGTATGCAAATTATTGTAATTTATATATTTATTAATCCACATATAATTTGCTGATTTACTGTAGCACCTCCACCCAGTTTCTCTGTAATGGCTGCCGTCTCACACACATCCTGAGATTGATTCCCCATTTCACCCATGCCCATCCCCCCCCTCAGCATTCCTCTATAGCTTGCGCTCAAAACTTTGCAGATTTGACTGGTGTGGAACCTACAAAATGTTCATTACAAAGAATAATTTTATCACCTGAAGCAACACTTTGGGAGATAATAAAAGTTAACTAATTAATTTCCTAGTTTTATAACTTAATTGATGCTCAGTGGAGTTGTGACGCCAAAGTTAAGGTGTGTTAGTTATTAACACAGGGCTGTGCCTTAAGCCTCCGCTAGCTGCTTTTTGCAACCAAGCAGGAACTTCGGCCTTTGCCGGAGCCTAAATCAAGCGCTCCTTTTTGCCTGCCACACACCTGCACCGAAGGAGGGAATTCAGACCTTCATGCTAACATCCGAGGAATGAGGAGCAATCCAGCTAAAGAAAATGGTAAGATTATTGTTGTCTTAATGGACTCCCAGTTATTATCTATTATATCACTCGGTCAGATATACTTTTAAATGCTTTTTAAACGTGTCGATCTGTAACAACTTTTTCAATTGTGTTTAACTAGAATGGCTAGCTAGGACATTAGACTAGCTACAGCTAATGAGAAGCATGCATGTTTTCAATTTTTGAGGCCCAGTCTTACAGCAAATAAATAGAATAAAAGTGACAATTAACCAAAAAAGTACAAGTTATTACAATATGATTGCTCACCAAAATGACTCAAATGCAAAATAATAAAGGCTGTTACAAACTTGCAAACCTAATAAGCAGAAATCAGGAAATATGCAATATTTTCAGTCACCCTGCTTGTGTAACTGAAAGGGTAATAACTTTTACATGTGCTCTGAATTGAGAGACGATAGACATGAGGAACTAAAACATGAGGCAGAAGTAAATGGATACCTTGTGCATAAAGGTTGGTTCTGCTGGGAAGGGCCTTCAGGCCACATTACACCAGACAACATCCTTTTTAAAATAATAAAGGCTGGGATTTATGGGTTCTTGTAGTAGTAGGTAGTATATTAGGATGAATCAGGAGGTGTGAATTTGAAACTAACTTTAGCATCATACCTTCAGTGAAGGGTCAAATCTGTTTTGGAAATGAATTTCAGGGTTTTGACACTGACTTATAACCACTACATGTTTTCTTCCATGAAAATGCAAACCAGAGAAGTAGATCCACTGATAGGAGTGACGGTGGAGTGGAATCTACATCCAGCTGTTCCAGTTTAACAGGTGAATTATCTCAGGGAAAGATGCATTAGCCCACAATGTTTTTCCACCTTTAAGTTGTTTTGCATTATTGTTTCCACTAAATCAATATAATGTGAATTATAACTGCTCAGATGAGAGAAGGGAGGTGTGACAACAAGTCTATTAAAATGATATTTTTATATGATTTTAGATGCCTAGAAGAAGCTACCACAATATCAGTTAATGTTTTATTTAAGAATACTAAGTCAGGTTTTTCTTAAAGAAAAGGCTCAGCACATCTGTCCTTTGGTGATTTTATTTCAAATGCCAGTTGTTTCTAAATATCCATGAAATAGAGATTTGTGTTGTCATCTCTAACAGGAAGGGAGAGAGTTGGTAGAATCCACCTCAACTGCTTTTCTTTTTGCATTTGACCATTGTTGACTTGTTCTGGCTTTGCTAATTTCATTTAATAACGTTTAATATAGTTGTTCCAATCTTGAGTATTAAATGGAAAAAGTTAGAAATTTTAAAGAATTGTTGAAATTATTGAATACTGCAGGTTGGATATTTATTTATAATTCCAAATGCAACATTTGTAACCTACTGATAAGACCGAGAAATATTTTGAGAAGACCAAATAGAGGCGGTGCAGAGCCTCTGAATTGTTTTAAGGTGACATTAACTTTTTTCTCTTTTAGGTACAGATAAGAGATATGGACTTGATCCACAGCAGAGGCAAATGGTAAGTGTGCCTATAAATAACTTCAAAGGATGTGATAGTATTTCAGCTCATTCTTCATACTGCGTAGCTAATTTAAATATTGTTCTAAATAAAAGTCTGGAAATGTTCTTCACCACTGAACATGTGCATCAAAAATACATTTCTAATCCTAGAGTGGTGAAAGTTATTTTCACTGTAGAGAAGTGGCAAAAATATTATGTAGAGAAATGCTTGAAAAAGATCATTTTGATAAAAGCTTGTCATATTGAATTTGGGATATCTGTTTGCACTTTGTGTTTGTGTTCTGGATTATAGATGATGACTAAATCAGGCCCGTTAAGAATTCTGATTTTCAATATATTGTGACATTTTTTTAATACTCTGCTGGTTCACTTCTACTTTTTCAACTGACCATAAAGGCTGGTGTCCTGCAAAGATGTTTTCCTGTTCTACCACACTGGATCCAAATTAATGGATCATTAACAAATGTTTGCTAACAAGCTATTGGAGAATGATTTGATTTGAATGAGGTGTGCTGTAGCAACCCTTAAGCCCCAGTAGCTGCTGATCATTGACTTAATGTTTCACCTGGAGGCATCATTCTCAATGTGGGAAGGTTCCAGTTATATCTGGGGCCTTTTGCTGCGTCTCCAATCTGTTTAATTTCACAGATGTGGACATTTACAAATGCTTGTTTTCTGTATTTTATAGGATCAAAAGCGTCCAGCTCGTCGCCTGCAGAAACTTAAAGCCCATCACAATAGATGTGAGGCTCGTTACAAGAAGGCAAGAAATGAAGTGAGGGAGAACATGTCTTCTCTTCATCAGAAGGATTTCATGGTTAGTTTTGCTTCACCTTTTTCTTGATGTACCCAGAGATGAGAACAGTTAGTAAATGTACCATTGCATGTGTGGCTTACGCTGTTTTGACACAGTATTGTAATAATATCAAGAAAATCTTGCGAATTTCTTAATACTTAGTATAATTATGTAGTCACCACAAATTTCGATGGCTATCTTTAATGCTGGATAAAAAAAAAAGTGATCATCTTCTAAACTTTTGTGAAACAAAAATACTTTTGGTTATCATTACAAAATTTCACATTTTGTAATGATAAAAATGTGAAATTTTTATCATAATTTTTTATAAATTAATTATAAATTACAAATTTATCATTAATTTGTAATTTAATGATAAATTACAGATTATCATTTGTAATTGTAATTTACAAATTGCACTGCAGTGTCGCACTGCGCCAGGGGTCGCACTGCAGTGTCGCACTGCGCCAGGGGTCGCACTGCAGTGTCGCACTGCGCCAGGGGTCGCACTGCAGTGTCGCACTGCGCCAGGGGTCGCACTGCAGTGTCGCACTGCGCCAGGGGTCGCACTGCAGTGTCGCACTGCGCCAGGGGTCGCACTGCAGTGTCGCACTGCGCCAGGGGTCGCACTGCAGTGTCGCACTGCGCCAGGGGTCGCACTGCAGTGTCGCACTGCGCCAGGGGTCGCACTGCAGTGTCGCACTGCGCCAGGGGTCGCACTGCAGTGTCGCACTGCGCCAGGGGTCGCACTGCAGTGTCGCACTGCGCCAGGGGTCGCACTGCAGTGTCGCACTGCGCCAGGGGTCGCACTGCAGTGTCGCACTGCGCCAGGGGTCGCACTGCAGTGTCGCACTGCGCCAGGGGTCGCACTGCAGTGTCGCACTGCAGTGTCGCACTGCAGTGTCGCACTGCAGTGTCGACTGCAGTGTCGCACTGCAGTGTCGCACTGCGCCAGGGGTCGCACTGCAGTGTCGCACTGCGCCAGGGGTCGCACTGCAGTGTCGCACTGCGCCAGGGGTCGCACTGCAGTGTCGCACTGCGCCAGGGGGTCGCACTGCAGTGTCGCACTGCGCCAGGGGTCGCACTGCAGTGTCGCACTGCGCCAGGGGTCGCACTGCAGTGTCGCACTGCAGTGTCGCACTGCAGTGTCGCACTGCAGTGTCGCACTGCAGTGTCGCACTGCAGTGTCGCACTGCAGTGTCGCACTGCAGTGTCGCACTGCAGTGTCGCACTGCAGTGTCGCACTGCAGTGTCGCAGAAGAATGCATTTGGTGGTGGCAATTGTGCAAAATCATGTTGTAGTCAGAAAGGAGCTTTCTTTGAGGGAGACTCACCTGGTCAGTCAATTCAAATTTACTTAGTGTCTATTACAATACAAATTGTCACTAGATGTTTACCAGAAACCCACACATGGACTAATCAGGACTAAACCCAAAATATTCTGAAGCATTTTTTCTTCCAGTTTATGAAATTCTAATGGCCTGTAAAGTTGAAGTATACAATCAATGTGCCTAGTTTCATTTTCATGTAATCTAAATTTAGTAGGTCAGATTAGATGTTAATGGTTACCAAAATCCAAAAGTACTTGGCCGTGGTGTCTAATTTTTAACTGCTACATTTGAAAACAGCTGAATATTATCTTTTGGTATATTTGTAACAAATCTGGGTGGATCACGTCATGGTTTGTATTAAATCTGTAAGCAAGTACTGTGCGCTGTGATATTAACCAACACAAAATGCAGAATCTCCAGTGTAATTTGAAGGAGCCTGTGCACTTTTGGTGGTTAATACGTGACATTTTTGAGATTTCTAAATACCTTGATACAGTTTAAGTTAACCTTAGTTCTGTATTAAATTGTAACAGTTAATTTAGAAACAAGTCATTTTAACTGTTAAACTTATGAATTTTTAGGAGTCGAAACAGTCATCTGATGAGAGCGACGATACCATCATCCTTGGTCCAACGCCAACTGAAGTACGGGACATGAGTGTGCCTGAGCTCACAAGAACTGACAGTGTGATTGTAAGTTTATCAGTTTATCTATACATATCATAGTCCAACCTCAGAGGTATTTGGTTTCTGTTGTTTTAACTATACTACTATTTTTTCTAATGTTAAGATTCACTTAGGTTTGAAATTCTGTTTCTTTTTTTGTAGTATTTAAAACCAAACTATCCAAGAACTCAGTTAGTCGCCATGTGCTGATAAATCTGAAAAATGTTGGAAAAACATTTGCGCTAACAAGCACCAAAAAAGGGCTGCACAGTGGCACAGTTGGCATCACTGTTGCAGCAAGAAGTTCCTGGGTTCAATCATCGGCCCGGGGTCTTTCTGCATGGAGTTTGCATGTTTTCCCTGCAGGCGTGGGTTCTCTGCGGGTTCCCTGGCTTCCTCCCACGGTCCAAAAACATGACTGTCAGGTTAATTGGTCTTTCTAAATTCTTCCTAGATGTGAGAGTGTGTGCAGGGTTGTTTGTCCTGTCTGTGTTTCCCTGCGACAGACTGGCAACCTGTCCAGAGTGACCCCACTAGGGACAAGGGTGTTAAAAAACAGAAGGAAGCACCAAAAAAATCAAGAAAGGCCAAGAAATCATACTAGTATTGGGAATATTTCGAATTTTAATGAACTATGTAAAACTAGTTGTACATATTTAACTTCTTCTGATTTGTTTATATGTTTGAAAAATAATTTGAAAGTAATCTCTTTTTTTATATAATTTTAGTTAAACAAACAAATGCTTGGCTACTCAGAAGAGTCTCTATCAAGTTCTGACATCACTGAGGAAGAGTATGTTCCTGATTCAAAGGAATCTGAGAGTGACAGTCTAAAAGACAGTGACAGTTCTGAAGACATTAAACAGCTCAAGAAGAGGAAGAAAAGAGCCCAGAAAAATATTTCTTCTCTGGAAGTCCAACCACTTAGGAGAATACGTGTGGCCACTTCTAGATCTTTGACCACAAAAGATCCTGGAGAATCTTCTTCAACTGATGCGAAAGATCCTGGAGAATCTTCTTCATTTGATTCAAAAGATCCTGGAGAATCTTCTTCATTTGATTCAAAAGATCCTGGAGAATCTTCTTCATTTGATGTGAAAGTCATGACCTTGAAGAAGAAGGAAGATGGCAGTAGGGTTTACAATAAAAGGTACTATTGTGCATTTTGTAGCAAACCTTACAGCAAAATGGCACGTCATCTAGAAGCAAAACACAGTGATATGCCAGAAGTGGAAAGTGCACTGAAATGTCCCATAGGTTCTAGAGAACGACGGCTGCAGTTGTCCTTGATAAGAAACAAAGGAAATCGTGCCCATAATAATAAAGTTATTAAAGAGGAAAGGGAATGCTCATTCCCCGCCAACAATGCACTAAATCATCAAAAGCGGGTGATTACTTGCATTGCATCAACTGTGAGGGTTACCTCAAGAGGAAATTCATGTGGAGGCATATGCAGAGGTGTTATTTCAGTCAAAAAGTCAAAGGACTGAAGCCAGGAGCATCTCGAGTCCAAGCCATTTGCAAATATGCTGAGCCAGTACCAGACAGTGTCAATGCACAGTTTTGGAAATTAATACTTGACATGCACCAAGATGATGTAGCAAAAGTTGTCCAAAGTGAGAAATGCATCTTGAAATTTGGAGAACATTGTTCAACAAACATGGTCAAGATGTTACAAGACATGAATACATCCGACAGAAGATGCGCGAGACCGCCCGACTTGTTCTGCAAGGAAAGAAAGATGGCAAGTTGGAGACGCTGAAGGACTTCTTTGTGCCAGCTAACTTCCCTCATGTTATCAAGGCAGTTAAGAAAGTGGCTGGCTTGAATGAAAGAACAAATGTCTTCAAAACGCCATCTTTAGCACTCAAGTTGGGGCACACCTCAAGAAAGTGGCAAATGTTCTTGAATGTGAGGCTATGATCTCAGGCGACGAGAATACCATTCACAATGTGCGAATTTTCAAACAAATCTATGAGACCAGATGGAGCGAGTGCGTCTCTTCCCATGCCCTTAGGAGTTTGAGTGAGGCTAAGTGGAATGCGCCTCAGCTCATTCCCTTTGCTGAAGACGTTAGGAAAATGCACCAGTATCTGGACACAAAAAGGATGGAGTGCCAGAGAAACCTGAAGGAAGAAGCTGTAAAGAAGAACTGGGCTGAACTTGCCAAGATCACGCTTTGTGAGGTGATAATATTCAACCGGAGAAGAGAGGGAGAAGTATCCAAGATGCCACTGAATGCTTTCACCTTGAGAGATACCTCTGTCACCCATCCAGATGTGGAGCTTGCTTTGTCAGAACTTGAAAAGAAGCTGTGTAAACACTTCCAGCGAATTGAGATAAAAGGCAAACGTGGCCGAAAGGTTCCCATTCTCCTCACTCCTGATATGGCATCATCAATGGAGTTGCTTCTCCAACATCGCCGCAATTGTGACGTGTTGGATGAGAATCCATACATGTTCGGGAGACCACAGACTCTCAGTCACTTCAGAGGATCGGATATTATTCGTGAGATGGCTCAAAACTGTGGAGCAAAACCCAGGAGCATTATCCTCAACCAAACTGAGGAAGCACATGGCCACCATGTCAAAGGTTCTTAACCTAAAGGACAATGAAATGGATGACCTAGCTGACTTCCTCGGCCATGACATCAGAGTTCATCGTCAGTATTATAGATTGCCTGAAGGGACATTACAGTTGGCAAAAATCAGTAAAGTGTTGCTGGCACTAGAAAGAGGACAGCTCTCCAACTTCAAAGGAAAAAACTTGGATGAAATCAGCATCGATCCACAAGGTAAATTATTATGATTTATTAGTGAAGATTTTATTTGACCCCTGGCATGGCACGTTTTATTTATTTTGATGTTGATTTTGTAAATTAAAAAAAAGATGACATCTACAACAGTTTGAGTGTCAGACATTGAGAACTGTAGGAAGAAGTAGCCCAGTAGGCATTTTTTCATATTGCATATTCTAATTCTTGTACTTTTTTTGTTTGCTTGTTTTAATCTCTGGGAAATTCAATTATAATTTCACATTGTAAATTACTCACTTGAATGGTAGTAGAACAAGGAAAGCGCTAAGACTGTGCTGGCAGCATATGCAATGCTTCATAATGTAACATGATGGATATTGTTACTTCATTTTCCAGAGAAAATGTCTGTGGACAGTGGATCAGACACTGAAGAAGAGGTTGACTCAGCTGAGAGGGATGCTGAAACTTCATCTTCCAGATCACCAGGTGGGGATGGCAACAAAGAAGAAGAAATTGGTGAGGAACCACAGATGCATTCATTTCTGCCTTTTGTACAATATGTTAAGACAGCAGTGCATTTTTAGATTAGTGCTTAGACATTTTAACTTACTCTCTAGTGTATTATATATATTTCTATTATATTCTAAAAATCTAATGTAAATTAGATCATAATTTATATCATGAGCTAATGTAAATTATGATCTAATTAGATCATAATTCTAAAAATCTAATGTAAATCTAATGTAAATTAGATTTATATTCTAAAAATCTAATGTAAATTAGATTTACATTAATCTAATGTAAATTAGATTTTTAGAATGATTGTCAGGGAACCACAAGGTTAAGCTGTTGCCATCTTGTTTTCTCACCTGGAAGTTGGAAACCAGGTTTTATGATGTTAATTTGACTGATTATATCAGATCCTTCAATGCTAAGGATGGTGACATGTTAAAAGAAGTGCTTCCATGACACTTTAGTTCATTTGGGGATTATCGAATCCCCTGAAATAACACCTCCTGGAACCATAAAAATGGTTTACTTGATATTAATAACTTTTTCAAATAAGTGCAGTTTCTATTACAAAATTTTTTTTTCACATTTGATGGATAGATGGAGGTCATGGAAATGCGTTTGAATGATAGATTCATCCATAAAAGGAGAAATGTTTTAAGAAGTGTTGCTAACAGGGCCAAACTAAATATTAACTGAAAATGAGGTAATTACAATACAGCAGCTTCTGATTTAGTGCTGTTAAGAAATTAGTACAAAGTTAAACTGTTAAGCCGATCATTTGAAATGCTTGTATAAAGCAAACACACTGACTGCTTACACTGTTGAATACTCTTTTACTTAATTTACCTTTGTTTAGGTCAATTTGGGGTGACCAGGAGATGCACCACTGAAAGCAGTGATCTGCCCTCAGCAATAGGTACGAATATTTATAAGTCCGCAGAAAATTAGGTTGTAGATTTCTGATAAATATTGAACCTTAAGAGGCTACTGTCCTCTATCATTACTGTCTCATGTATGTTATATTTGTCTTCTGTTATTTATACAACTTTTCAATGTACTCTGTACCTGATAATTTTGTCCAAGTCACATATATTGTGAGATTTGTTTGGTTTCACAGAGAGGTCAGATGGCGAGGAACCGGCAGACATGGAAGTCTCTAGCAACTCTAACACATCTAAAGGTAGTTTCTCTTCCTCCTTGCAGGTTATCAATGAGCAGAAGCGTTTAGTGTTCATAGAATATGTCACATTATGAGGTGTAAACCTATTTCCAATATTTTCTCAATTGGGAAAATAATGAGCATTTCACAGCACTCTGTGTGGTGTCAAAATAAGGCGTCCTCATTTTATAATATCATGAGGATCACATAATATCTCTTCATATAAAACTTTAGAAAAACTAAATTTTCATTTGACTGCATATCCTCAAGCAAAAGTTTGGTTTTATTTCTCTTCCTCTATTATTGCCGCCTTGAACATTCTTCAAACAGCAAACAAAGTTGAATCATCAAAGGTAGATTGGGTGATTATTTTAATCTTTCTGTTTCACTGCACCTATAAAATATTTCTAAAACCTGTAGTGTTAGCAGAACTCATCAGGCCCTGCGGATTTTTCCCAGGTTGGACTCTGTGACAAAGGGAGATTTGAGTTTCATTCATTAGAGATGTTGATGCTCTTAAGTCAGGCTCACCGAGTCTCCAGCCACCATCAAATCACTCAAAATAATCCTTTCAGTGAAGTCCTTTTTAAAATGTCTACTTTAAACAATTTTCTCTGATTTTTTTAACATCCCCCTAACCTTAATCATTTATGCTTGAGGTATTTAGTACAATTAATTCTGTCCTGTACCTGCTGATGCTTTTAAAAGGGATGGTGAGATTCATGTATTCACTCACTACCAGTTGTCAGCTTCAACAGTGACAACTATTGAAGCTGACAACTGACCCTTAAATATGAAATATTTTTTACTACAGCTGTCATAAAGAAATGTTTTCATACCTTTATAACTTGCTGTCATACATACTGAAACCTTTTTTCATTGAAGAACACTGAAGTGCCCCTAATTATGTTTTAGGCCCACCACAAAAGAAGAGAGTCAAGTGGAACAAAGAAGAAGTCCAGGCAGTGGAGAAAACGCTGATGGACTGGATTGACTCTGGAAAGGTTCCTGGGAAAGCTCAGTGTATGAAATGCATTGAAACATCATGTCCTGTCCTCAACAACAGGACCTGGCAAGGTGTGAAATTCTATGTAAAAAATCGCATAGACGCATTAAAAAGAGAGACTTTCAAAAGAAGGTAAGACTTAAGATTTACCTTTTTGTTACCATCAAAGAAAATGGTTGATCAGTTACTGCCATTGTTAGCGCCATAACGCTGATTTATTGAGTTTCTGCCCAGGTTTCAGACAGCTGCAGGAGTCAAGCTTTGTTATGCAAGTATTTATGCATACTGTAAGTTCATGTTCAGAATACATTCATTTATGTACATGCATGTCGGAATGTATGTATTTATTTTTTACAAGACACTGGAAATTGTGTAATAAAATGGTTTATATACAACTAGAAATGGATCCAGTATTGATGGTTGGCATTAAGCATGTTACCAGGCAAGGTGTAATGTTAGAAATAATATTACACAAAACAGATCTGATATAATGCTGTTTATTGACTTAAAAGAACTAGGATTGCTCATATTTGAGAAACTGCGCAAAAATTACACATGCCACCTGGTGGTAGTTGGTGAAGGACACGTCCTCACCTGCAGGCAGAAACCTGACAGATTTTAATTTTCAAAATTTGATAAATTTTTATGTTACAGATGATATTTCATGTTCTAATGTCCCTTAAAATTCCAGACCTAAAACCAAGCCTTTAGCTCATTTCGAAAAGTTGTGACCCCACGCGTATCCGCTTAGTCAGTCGGAAAAAGACGCCCTCACGGTCTGGGAAAAACAAGTATGTGTGTGTGTGTGTGTGTGTGTGTGTGTTTAGGTGTTGGTGGGGGATCTTGTTTAAACAGCCCCGCAAAAAAAAAAAAAAAAAAAAAAAAAACTTGTGCCACGGGGAGCAGCCAGCAGGTTATTTCTCCTGACAAGGATTCAGGCTATAGAAGCACCAGATGCACGAGATGGAAAATTCTTCAAAAGCTTGTCTTGATGAAAAGACAAAAAAAAAGAAAAAAAAAAAGGAAGTGGCCTGTGCCAGGTTTCTCTTGCACTGGGACAGCCTGGAATAACAGTGAGCATTATGCCTGGCGTTGCCGCCTGCCAAACCACACGAATCAAAGGCCTCATTGTGTGGATTACCTCGTTAATCTGCTGATGCCATTGAGCAGTATTGCAGGTGTTAATGTGCCAGTTTTTTTTCCTCTCCTCACTATCTCTCTTTTTCTCTCTCTGTCTCTCTCCTTTTATTGGGGAGGTGTAGCGTCAGGTCTGTAATCTGCTTTAAATGCTTTCTGGGGAACGACACATTGAAACTCTGCCAAGAGATTGCGACGAGCTCTCTGTTAAAGGGGATGGGAAGGCGAGTGGTGGTGTGTGTGTGCGTGTGTGTGTGTGCAGGGGGGAGGTGGGGAGGGTGACGCGTTGCCGAAGCCTGTGGGGACTATAGCTGGTGAGCTGCTCGGCCCACACCACTTGTTGAAATATAGGGCTGCATGAATAATGAAAGAGGGAGAGGGGAAGCGATATTGCTAACGCAGTCCCACAATGACATCCATCATAGTAATGCCCCGTCGCTCTGCTTCTTTTGTCTCATCCGGCGCACCAACTCCAAGTTGCGTCTCTTTGGAGGAGCGAGCGAGCTCCGTGTCTGCCTGGGCTGATAGACCAGAAGAAGCAGGAAGGGATAGATAGATAGATGGATGGATGGATAGATAAATGCACAAGAAAAAAAATAAGTGAAAAGTGGAGAGAAATGTGCTTCTTTTTGGCTCCCTGGGGTGGTCTCTTCATCCAGGGGCCTCAAAAGAGCGACAGAATACACCTCCCTGCTACAATGGAAGGGGATGGGGGGACGGACTCACAGGGGCTGTTGCTATTTGAGTGTGTGTGTGTGTGTGTGTGTGTGTGTGTGTGTGTGTGTGTGTGGTGGGTGTGTGGGTGTGTGTGTGTGTGTGTGTGTAGTGGGGGTGCAGCTTTAAGCAGGCCTTTGAGTGGCCTAATTGCATTGGAATACAGCAGCCTGAGAGCTGGTTCAGATCACGGCGGGCTGCTGGAGGGGTGAGCGCCCGCACCTCGACAGCCACACTCAGCAAAAGAGCCCCGGCACAAAGCGCACAATTAATGCTCTCCCTCTCGTTAACTCTCTCCCCACTTTTTGTCCTCTCCTACTTTTTTTTTTATCCTCTCATCTCCCTCCACCTCTCCTCCCTTCCTCCGTCCTGACCACACAGCTCAGTATGTCGTCACTCACCCACTGCATTAATCCTCCCATGCAGCCCAGTCAATCTCCCCATCTTTGATGCACACAACAATTACAGTAAAGATGAAAGGCGTGGGTCGGCCGCCTGCCCATTATGTAAGACCTAAAACAGGGAGAAAATGGCTGAGATGCAAGAAAACTGGCCTGAAATAATAATAATAAAAACTTTTCGAGGCGGATGGACATGCGATGTGTGCTGGTGAATATTGAAAGAAGTAGAAACAGAATTACATGACTAAATGTAAAAAAAAAGAAAATTAGAATCTTTGCAGCCAGCAAAAAAAAAAAAAAAAACAGAAAAAACAACAGCAGCAAACTTGCAGCAATGACTACTGAGATGTTTAGCATTTACACTTTAAAAACACAAAATTGCTGCAAGAATTCAGCCCAGAAAAGAAGTTTGCATGGCATTTTAGTCTGGTAGATTTTAATCAATTGTACTAAATTGGTACTATGTAAATGTGACTGAAAGATTAATGAAATCTAAACAGAACAAAATGTTATTAAATTCTAATTATTATTATGATTTTGTTCAAAGGGTTTGTCCCTCCTGGAAAAAAAAAAAACAACCAAAAAGTAAGAATTGGTTCATATGATTGAGCCATAGATCATTAACGAAATAGTACAAACTTTTTGTATGTCTCCTGTAATTGATTATGCTAATCTTTTCAATAAAACCACCACATTTCATAAGGGTTAGCATGCTAGCAGCTTTAGCGCTGTCGCTAAGCTAACCAAAGGTGGAGAAGAAGTGAAATACTTAAAACTAGATGAACTGTTTTAAACATTCTTAACATTCACTAAGTTGATATTTTTTGAATAATGTGATCCATATGGATATATCAGCCTGACTGGATTCGACGTTTATTAACGGCTTGTTACAAAGTTGTTAATAATGTAGCGAATCTTGTCAGGATTTTCCTATTGTTGCTATTACAAACTAATAAACTTAGATATGGATAAAACCTATTTTCTTCAGCCGTGACCATGAACTTTTGTCGTCTCGATGTTTTGACGTGTTGAATGTCTTTAACATGGATGCTGTTTGGTATTTAAGATCTGAGACACAACAGGGGGAACGTGTTAAAATGTAGAAAACATGACCACTCTGCAACAAGGACTCTTCTATGAAGCTGGTCATTAGCATTCTGCTACTTTCTCTGCATCATATCAGTAAAAAGAAGAAAGAAAAAAAACCTTACAGAAGTGCTAGTGTTTTCATGGACTCCACAGTCCAATCACAGTCGAGCTGCTCCATATTTAAAAAGCCTTCACCTTGGATTCTCAGTCGTGTGAGGAGGAAGTCTGCGATTCTGAAAGCATTTCATATCCAACCAGCCTCAGCCTTTGATTTCCTTTATTACCCGAGCCGTGTCTTAATAAAATCTAATTATTTCCGCTCGCAGGACGTTTTCGGGTGAGAAACTGGCAGAGGGATGTGAGCTGATGTATGGGGGAGACAGTCGCCTAATTAGAGCGTTAGAAATTGAATCTTTACAGCACACGGGTCATATAATTATCCTACTGTTAATTTAACGCTTACATTCCCCACCGTTCACTTCACTCCCTTAAATGTAGCTTGGCAGCAGCTCAGCACCCCGGTGCCTGGGAGGAGGGCCCCCATCGTTGGCCCTTCCGAGCGGCTGAATAACAGCAGACCCTGAAGTCCAAATAACAAGGCTCGCATCGTTTATGCATTGTTAAGCCATGTAATTGAAACGAGCCGTAGTTTGCATATTACGCCATTAAAATAATGTGCTTCGCGTTTCTCCCAACACGACTGTTTAAGCCTGTGTGGCGATGTGGTAATTCCTCGAATTACAGCCTAATTACCGCAATGTTCTTTTGATTTGGCCGATTCCAATGTTACGCCACAATAATGTGGAATATTAGCAGAATGAATGGCCAAGCCGTGCCCGGAAACTTTTCGCGGCATAACTTAAATCCTGGCGGCCGCGTGAGCCGTCAGTGCAGCTGGAGCCACATCTATAAAGGATTATTAGCCTATGAAATGAGATCCATTAAAGGCCCAATCACAAATCTTTCATTAAAGAGCTCGGCTTTACGTGGAATAGGACCATTTTGTGTGCGTTCCTCTCTTGATCCTCATTATCCACTTTAAATCACAGAGTGTGCATATATTACTGCTGTAAACATCGTAATGATGTTTATGCTCGCTATAAAGATGTATTTAATTTATGACAGGTACTAGGAACTTACAGCATATTTGCATTTTTTGTCATTTTTTTTTTGTCAACACGAGCCTACAAAATAATAATGCAGTAAATTATTGGAGTTTGTAGCTATAAATATAGTCAGCCTTCTAAAGTCTGATACAATAAATTGTGTTCAGAAAGCAATATAGTTCTAAATTGAAATCTGCATTTGGTTCTCCGTACGAAAAGTTGAATGGTCGCCTTAAATTTGTCTGTTTGTATTATAATTGATACATTAGGCACATGTGGTTGTATTTATTAAACTTTCCCAACCAAACGGAAATTTTTTTAGTTTGCCATAAAAAACAACACAGTGAGCAGCATTTACTACTGTACAATTGATCCGATCAAAAACAGGGGAAAAAACGATGCGTTCTGTGCTATTGAGCTAAAGACGATTTTATCACAATAAATGATAAATCAATTAATTGCATGATAAATTTAAAAAAATCTCTGTAATTTCTTTTGCTTTCTTTCTTTCTACCAAAGTTGGTCTCCAGGTTGATGCTTTGCTCTCAACTAGCCATTTTCTTTCTGAAGGACAATTTTGTCTATAGAATCCTCATGATTCATTTTTGTTGTTTTGTTTATTTATTTTGGATATTTAAAACGTCTTCCAGCTCCAGTGTTAAATGTTCATTAAAATTGAAAGTTTATTG